CTCAGATTACATGCAAAAACGTTTAAAAAATTTATATCACTATCATGGAGCAAAGATTGAAAAAAGGGAGAAACATGTCTAAGTGATAAGTTTTGATAGAACGCTTGGACTTGCTTTTAACAGTGTCTCCCTGCGAAGTTTTCCCCCTTCTCCGCCGCGAAGGGGGCGCGCGTCGAGTCATCGCAAAGAATGATAAAAAGTCTCCCGGCGCGGCGGCGGCGGCGGCACTCCATCGGTTTCGAACCGTCCAAATAATAACTCAACTCTCGCATGACTAAAAGCCTCTGCTGATCTAACGCTCTGCGCCCCGCCGCGCGCGGGAGAGGACGGGCTGAGAAAAATATGGGGAAATATTGGAACACGCGCGCGCGGGAGCAGCACGCCGCCGTGCCACGCTGCACCACGCCACGCCACGCCGCGGCGCGTGCGCGCCGTGCCACTGGCAGCCTGTCGATAAATCTCGATTCAGGTTTTGGGCCGGCGTGCCTCCATTGCGCGGTGCCCCGCGCACCCCGCGTGCCGACACGGAGGTGGCTTGGCTGGAGGGTCCCCAGAGCGGAGCAGGGCGCGATGCAACTCGAGCTACGGGACGGGGAACTGTTTCTTTATTCGTTTCTTGAAGTACTGTACGCCGGGTTAACTTTGGCTCCAGGCCTAAATTCGAGCAACGGGGTACCTTTGGCTCAAAGCCTAAATTTGTTGCTAATTAGTTAATGTATTGAACAGGTTGAAAATGCATTTTTATAAAATACAATTTCAGGATTGAGCCAAAGGGCCGCATCCCGTTTGAGCCGGGCCTACCTGCGGGGCTTTAAAATCTGGACATATGAGCCGGGGCCGGTCAGTAAGCACGCGTGACTCGAGGGGCCTGTGGGTGCCCCTGCCTGCCCCTGTCCGCCCACCAAACTGGTCATTTGCGCCGGCGCGGCGTGTGCGCTGGGACGACTTGAACCTAAGGTTCAGGACCCCATGCCGCGGAGCGATAGCGGAGTGCAACGCTTCACTGATAGTATCTTTGCTTATTTACTTCTTTGAATTTGGCTTGTTAGTTAAGGTTTGCTTCGTTTAAATTTTCAATACCGCTAAAATGTAATATACGTCTCGTACGAAAACATCTAAAAGGACATCGGTCGTTCACTGAGAGCCTAGGAACCCATGCCAGAGCGTTGCGCGGAGCGATAGCGGAGTGCAACGCTGCATTTACAGTATCTTTACTGATCTGCTGTATTAAGTTAGGTTTGTTAGTTTAGGTTTGCCTCATTTTATTTAAACGCAAAGCTGAGTGAACGCTGCATTGACAGTATATTAACTGATTTGCTGTATTCAATTAGGTTTGTTAGTTTAGGTTTGCTTACTAAACGGAAAGATATTAACACTACGTGAATACTGCCTCAGCCCGCAATGTCTGCCCGCAATATTTCGAGTAGGCAACCAACAGCAACTGGCTCAAATGTCCATTTACACAGAGGGGATCGCCCCGGCGGCCCAGTGCAGTGGGCTAATCCCCTCTCTGTGGGGCAGCAGGCGACGGCATTTACTACCGACCCCCTAACTCTCGCAGGTAGGCCCGGCTCAAATGGGCATCCGCCCATACCCTGGCTTACGGTTTAGGGTGACATCACGGCGCGCCCCTTTCCATGGTTGACACACTCGGAAGTGCAAACCAACCTGGTTGAACACTTGATGGAGTAGAGGTTCACTGCACGCGCACAGTTGGAATGAAGTGAGCTAGAGGCTAACCGGCTAACCAAAGCCCCTGGCTAGAGGACCCATGAATAAAATCATAGCACTGACAATAATAACACCTGTCATCCAAATCACCATCCCTCTTCATCCACGTTCGCGCCTGAATTAATTTGCAAATAGTTTAAGCAGGCCTCATACGGACAACAGCATACTAACTACAAAAAGTCAAAAAGTAACGTAATTTTTGGATTTCAATGAGACTATTTCAAAACAAACCTATGCTAGATGCCGCAGGTCCTATGTCAAGGGAGGGACACTACGGAGGGGCTCTGGCTCCACCCGTGCACCAGCTTCGTGTACGTACTCAACGACGCTTCCCCTGGTTGTACGTCCTCCACGTTCCTCCAGCCCGTCCGGAGGGAACACGACAGGGGAGCGATGATGCCCCACTACGCCGCCGCCACGACTTGCAGCAAGCCGGGTCGCTCCTGTTCCACAGCCCTCCCACCGCTCCCACCACTTAGCTCCTCACTGAATGCAGAAGACACCCGTTATTACAATGTCCAATAAATATTTCTCGTTGCCAACCTGTGCACCGCCCGCTCGATACGACCCGCGGGGCGGGGCGCGCAATGCCTTGTCTTACATTTCCATCGCCCGTACTGCAGGATTGCTGACTCCCCCTCCCCTCGACCCCCCTTCTCCATACCCTCCACAGCGACTATAGATACTAACTAACTAGGTTGGCGGAGTCAGTTGTTGAGCGACCGGTTAAGTTATTGTATGCAATTGGCAATAGTTATTGCAACCATAATAGAAATCAAATTTAAAAACTACCTTTGAATATGACTGTGTTTTCGAATCCACGAGTGACATGTCGAGTTTTTTTTTTGTTTTTTTTTGCAACCGACCCCTTTTATATCCTACCCCTTTTACACTAGGAGCAGGATTTGCTAGGCGAAGCCCGCCCGCACGCCTCATTCGGTACAGCATTACCAGAAATAAAAAGTACGGCATAGAACACCCACCGTGTACTTGAATATCTTTTGGTTCTCCGTGTCACAGCCCACTTGCACTCTAATCCATATCCCTGACCTGGGCTGGCAGACGTAGTACGGTGAGCCATGACCTGCACGGTACCGTGGAATCCACAAGGTGTCCAGAAATTGGACGGCTCGAGTACAGCCTCGATTCTTGGTCGGGCAAATCTGGGCTGGACTCTACAGATTTACAAGTGTAGTCCATAACTCCTTCCCTTTTTACACGGATGAAGCGCGAAA